TTTTGTTAAAGTTGACACATCAGCACACACATTTCCTTTACATTACCCTTTTTTGCCTAATTTCCTGTTACTAAAATGCTTTGCATTTGAACTTGACGTACGTGTACTGTGATTTTAGCACATCTCCATCTGATTCCTGTGGCTGTTTCTTGTGTTCCTGATTCTTGGATAAGAAAGGCAAGCAAAGGCTTCCTCCTCCACTCTTCCCTGACCCAAATCAGAGAAGCCATAGTGGTGCTGGCCCCTTCCTTGTGATAGAGGTGTGTCTTGTCATCTGGCTAAACACAACATTCTGTACTTACCTGCTGACAATGTCACTGGACTGCTGAATCTCCTACATATTATCTATATCATACAGGAAAAAGAAGGGAGAATTTAAAAAGTCTGTGAAGAAAAGAGTTGTGGTTAAGAAAGAAGAAAATAAACTTGATTACCAAAACTGTACGCAAAAACTAATTAAAGAAACTCTAAAATCTCTAGAATTCATTTACTTCTTTTCACATATTTGTTGAAAATTGCTGAGTTAAAGTCCTTCAGGTCACGATAACAGTAGCCATTAAGGTTATTGGTTGTTCCAGGCTCTGATTTGCATCTCTGTTGAATAAGATCCCCAAAGTTATCCTCTGCTCCTAGAAATAAACATAGGTAAGAATTACCCATTAATTATTAATTAATAGGTGACTAAATAATCCATAATGCCATCACAACTAAGGACTATTAATACAAGTTGATAACACTAAGAAAAAATCATTTTCATTTAAATTGTGGCATGTTGTTTACAGTAATATTCTTCTGACTTCCGGGGATATTAAAAAAAGAAAAATGTAGGTTTTACAGTTTCTAAAATATAGCTGTTAGAACTCATAGCTGCTGGGACTGCATGTACAAGGGCTGCACAAGATCAAGCCAGTCATAATCCCAGCATGGACAGGGGAGGGGCTCGTGAAGTCCCATCCCATCTGAGGAGCTATTGGCAATCAATAGATATGGGGAGGGATAGTCAGTTTTCTTCCAGTCATGTGGTCCCTAAGAGGTTCCCCATGCTCCAGTAGATAGTCCTACACCCCTGCACATACATGTAGCACTAAATGGCCTCAGTGCTACTTTTGTAAAAAGAGAGAACATTTGAAATCAGAAAGGAGAAGGTGGGGCAAGAGAGGAATTGTGTGGGAGGGAATTTGAGGCAGATTAAAAAAAAATTTTCCAATACGTAACTATTAGAACTCTGGTGTAATGGAAAAATGGGAAAGTAATCTGGGTAAGAAGCTTTGGCAATAGAGCGGGCAAAGGGAAAAGGCTGTAGTATTAGATATGGCAGGACATATCTAATTGAGGAGTGATTTGAGTGGAAATACAGTAGAAGAATATGAGAGATGTGACCAAATGAATATCTAGGGATAAAATATAACAACAGGCTGAAAAAAGCTAAAGCAAATTCTGAAGACAAATGCCTACCTGAATTGAAGGGACAGCCAAGAGGCCAGTATGTGTGCACAGTGTGAGAGAGGGAGAGACTAAAAGGAGATGAAGTCATAAGAGGGAAATGGCCAGGCATGGTGGTGCACACCTATAACCCCAGCACTCAGGAGGCAGAAGCAGGTGAGCGGAGGCCAGCCTGGTCTATATAGCTGAGTTCCAGCCAGCTGAGGCTAGAGAAACCCATCTAAAAAAAGAAAAGAAAAAGAAAGAGGGACATGCCAGATCATTTAAGGAAATTCTTCTCAAATCAAAAATCTCTTGTGAGACTTCAGCTTCTGATTTGTGTGTGTGTGTGTGTGTGTGTGTGTGTGTGTGTGTGTGTAAAAAAAAAATATGCACTTGTATGAATGCTTGTGCCTTCAGAGGCCAGAAGAGGGTGTCAAATCCTCTAGAACTGAAGTTTAAAAGTGGTTATGTGCTGTGTCATGTGGGTGTCACTTAATGTGGGTGCTGGAAACTGAACTCAGGTCTTCTGAAAGAGCAGCAAGTGCTCTTAATCACAGAGACATCTCTCCAGCCCTACAGGCCTCAGCTTTTGTATCATTGGGGTGCTTCCTCTGGAAGCACCCCTAAAGCACAAATCTAAATGAACATACATATACATCCCTTCAATAAGCAATAGACAACCTAATGCACCTATTATTTGTCCCTAATTTGACTCTTGAACAAGATTCTAAGATGATCCACCTGCACTTTAGGTATAGAAGGAATTGACACTTCAAAAGACTTGACATCTGAAGGATTTCAATCAGAAATCTTTATTTCAAGAACGAAATGCCCTTCCTTTATCTAACAGACTAGTAGTACTTTTAAGGATGCTAATGTGAGTTTTCATTGCTAATGAGTGTTCTTGTTACTTTTTGTTGCTGTGATAAAATGGCATGACCAAAAGCAACTTGGGAGGAAAGGGTTTATTTCAGTTTACAACTTGCAGGGCACAATCCCTCATGGAGGGAAGTCAGGACAGAAACCTAGAAGCAGGAACTGAAGCAGAGGCCATGGAGGAATAGTACTTACGGACTTGCTTCTCCTGGCTTGCTCAGCTACTTATACAGCCCAGGCCCACCTGACCGGGGATGTCATAGGCCCCAGTGGGATGGACCCCCTACATCAATTAGCAAGCAAGAAAAGGTCCTACAGACATGTCTACAGGCCAATCTGATAGAGAAAATTCCCCTTTGATATTCCTTCTTCTCAGGTGACTCCAGTTGTGTCAGGTTGACTAAAATTAACCAGCACAATGAGTAACTTCAAGATGGGTCAAAAGCATTAAAAATTTGCCAGATATTAACTTTCTATTATCAGAGTATGAGAATCTAGGGAACCCAGAAATCTAAACACAAGTTTCGGATTTTAAACCAGTCCCATATGCAGATAATTTTTTTAAAAGTTTCTGCGGGGCTGGGAAGATAACTCAGTTGTTAAAGTGCTCATGACATGAGTTTGATCCTCAGAACCTATGTAAAGAACGCAGGGTTCTCGAATGAGTCTGTAATTTAATTTCAGTACTAGGGAAACAAAGGCAGGTGGATCAATAAGGTTCCCTGGACAGCCAGGTTAGCCTAATTAGAGAGAGGCAAACCAGTAGAGACTTTTTCCAAAAAACATCAATGGTCCTCTTGAAAAATGACACCTAAAGATGTCCTCTGGCAAACACACACACACACACACACACACACACACACACACACACACAAACAGATGCATGCACACAGATTTTGTTACACGATTCTAATTCAGATAGGTAAATCTGTATGTGCTATTAGAATACTGTCTCATTTCCTACAGAATCAAATGTCCACTGGACAGAATGATTTGTATTCCTGCCAGGAAAGCAATAAAGAAGTTAATCTGTGGGTCACAACATCTGGAATCTTTAATCCAGATAGTTAAGAAGTGACATTTATTTACAGATCTGAGTGACCTCAGGGACAAAAAAAAAATGTGATAGATGAATACTGAGAGGGAGAGTATTGAATGTGTTTCTCCCAATTCTCTCCTACTCATTCAGCAGTAAAATCTTTTCTCAATATTTGGAGGAATGGGTTATCTAGGGGAAATAAATATGAGTACAGAGCACTGACCATCATGTTTGAGAAAAGAGGACAGACACTACCCAGGAATTCATCCATATCTGGACTTGGATTAGTGAGCAAAGAATGAATAAGAATGCCAGCAAAAAGTTAGCAGTAAGGATACTGCACAGAAGACAATCAGGAAAGTAATTATGGGGACTGCAGACGATGTCATGGACTGGTTGAAGGGACTCATTTCTACCCTTCCAGGAAAAAGGTTTCCTTTTGCTTTCTTGCAGAATGATCAAGAAAATTCCAACCTTTCTCTTTCAACTCTCTCTCCTTAGCATGTTGACTTGTCTTAAGGTACCTGCTGTTATTTCATCTCCAATCATTTCCTTTGTTGGGAAGGCGGAGGCTTTCCTCCTCTACCATCTACACAGCTTTGCTATGCCCCAGTGGCCAGAACTTTTGAGCACCCACCTGCAAAGGAGGTAATCATGTTGGTCTTTTAAAAAAATATTTTATTTTTATTTTATGTGTATGAGTGTATTGCTGCATATGTGAGTGCATCCGTGTCGTGCAATGCCACGGAGGTCAGAAGAGGGCGTCGGATTCCCCTAGAACTGGAGTTAAGGAAGGTTAGTAGCCTCCATGTGGGTGCTGGGAATCGAACCTGGGTCCTCTGCAAGACCAGTCAGCTCTTAACCGCTGCACCATCTTTCCAGCCCCATCATGTTTGTCTTAAAGTGAACAAAGGTGGAGGAAGAAAATGTCAAGAGATACTGGTCTCAGCAATCCCACAGTATGTGTATTGTCCTTCCTTCTTCCTGTTTTGGGGGCTGGAGAGATGATGGCTCAGCGGTTAATTGCGCTGGCTGCTCCTGCGGAGGAACTCAGATAGGTTCCCAGCATCCCCATTGGCGGCTAACAACCATCGTAACTCCAGTTCCAGGGCATCGATTGCACCCCGGTGCACTTACAAACATGTAGGTAAAATACTCATATAAAATACAACTTTTTTTATTACTAAAAATATTGTTCTTGAGGAATGGGCACTGTTAGATTTTCCCTCTGTAAAAGGCCTGAATTATGAAGACTTCTGACAACTCTACTGCTATTTCACAAAACACACGCCCAGCTAGCGAAGCCAATCAGGGTTGCCAGGGCAAGGCGTGTCACTATCTTAAAAGTTCAGTTCATGCCTCTTCCCTCCCTGCCTGGATGCTTTGCTATGGTATTTGTCAGAAGCCGCTAGCTGCCATTTTGGATTCGGGCGGAAATGAAAATAAAAAACAGGCCTGTGAAAAGCCTACACAGTGAAACCAAGAAAACCTGTGCATCCGAGCTAACAGCAGAGCGACTGCAGCGCAAGGAGGCAGCGGTGCCTGAGGCGAGGCCAGGCTCCCTGACGCACTTCCCGCACTTCCGCGAGCCTGGCTTCACCTGCGGGGCCGCTCTAGCTCCTTCCGGGTGCGCGCTCCTCGCTGGTGGCGTGGGAGGGAACGCGGAGGCCAGTGTTCCGACCCGTTTCCGGGCCCGTCTCGGTGCCGTCTGAGGCCCCGACCTGCGGAGAGCGGGCGCCGGGGCCGCAGCCTCGCGCCGGGGCCTGAGTGGTCGGAGTCCGCCGGGACGCAGAGGGCCGACCGCGCCCGGCCTGCTCCCACCGCCGCCCGCAGGTAACCGGAGCGCAGGGCTCGGCCGGGGCTCGGGAGGGGTCGGGTGGCCACCGCTGCTCGCGGGCCAGCTGGTGGCCGGTTGAGCGCCGCGGGCCCCGGCTTGTTTCGGGATGCTCGGCTACGCGTCTGCGGGGACCCCCAAGGGGCCGAAGAGGGCCGGGCGCGGCGCTGCCCGCTCGGGGTTGGAGTGAGGCGGAAAGGCCTCCGGTGCAGGATCCCGGGGCAGCGCCGGATCCCCCGGGCTGCACGTTCAATAAAGAGAAGGTCGTGAGTACAGAATTTGGGAATCACTATCACTGTTTAGGGTCTGATGTGTGTCTGTGCTGAGGTCGTGCTGAATACTTTTAGTTCTTAGAGACTTCATGATGTTCTGCTTGTCAGCTAGCTGAACAGAATTGAGTTCATGACCCGGAAGTTACACGTCTAAAGCAGATCAAAGAGCAGGGCTGCTAGTCGTGTTGCCATCGAATATCAAAATGCTGAGGTGTAACCTTAGAACCCACGGAGTGCGTTAAAGCTTTGGCGCTCTGTAGCTAAGGGAACTGGAGTCAAGAGAATCTCGTCTAATTGCAGGGGAAAGAACTAAGAAATACTTCTCCCAAAGGACATGGGTTTGTTTCTTAGTGTATAGTAGTTGCCCAGTGACCTAGGCAAGGGTATTCCCAATCCACAGGTGCTCCTTCCAGAAACTTCACCTGTAGCAAAAGAATGAAAAGGAATGAAAGAAAATAGGTATACGATTTTCTTTTTTTAAACTATGGTGTATATTCAAGGCAGATATTCAACTGGACGTCTTATTATAGAAAGTAAAGATGGCGTAGTTTGTGAAATATCTATGCTATATTAGAATATCCTTTTCAACCTTCATGTGAATTTTAATTTCAAAGCTGGCTAGCAACATTTCATATTTTCCCCCCTCCTAAAAACAAGGATAGATATGTAGAATTCCAAGTGTTATTTATGTCTTGTGTTTCAGTAAGTCCATTTTAGCTCATTTTTAAAGCACTGTTTATGTCAATAGTATTCTGTCTCGTTAGATGAGTGAAGAATTAGAGTTACTGCTTTAGGACACTGTCAAATAGCAGGCATCAGCACATTTTCCTCTCTCACTGGACAGAGAACTGTTCTTTCCCAGCAGCCTCTCACCGGTGTGACCAGTAGACAGCTCTCAGCATTTTCATGCTTTCAAAACAATAAAAAGGCATCTTTTCTCATCTGTCCTCCCAAGAAATTGAGTCATCCCTTTTTAACTTTCAGGTGATATTTCTTAGAGTCATAGACTGGGAAAAATTACCAAACATTTTCATAAGTCTAAAGTTGTCGGTTATCTGTTGGTATTCATAATATTGAATCAAAGGTTAATAGATACTGCAACAAGGACACATTCTACTAGTTGGAAATAAGTAAATTAAATGTCCCTTGCCCTCCCTCTGCTAGAGCCCAGCCCCTAAATCTTGATGACCTCCTTATCTCTTTGGGGGACTAATATTGTATGATTCTTCAACCAAGAGGGTGATTCATTTACTTGCAGTTCCTTTATTCACTTTTTTCCTTATTGTTCATTCATTTTGAAAAGTTGTATGTTGTGGTGAAGCAGTGCGATGGACCAGCCCAGACCGGGGCAGTTCAGTCCGACAGGAACAGGGTCGTTGAGAGGGTGGACAAGGATTCAGCAAGTGACAGACACACATGAGCTTGGTGAAAGTCTGAGTGCAATTTTCGCAGTTGCAAGGTTTGAGATATATACAGCAAAGATTACAAAAACTGCAGAACTGTCATGCTAAGATTTACAATTCCAGATAGCCAAAACACATTTCTTTATCTTATCAACCTGGTACCAGTCAGCAAATTCCTGCTTTATGATACTATGGTTTCTACTACCAGCTTTTATCACGCACTCAGAACTCTGCTTAGTTTTGTGTTTTCAGGTCAGAATGACCTTAAACCACCAAGTACTTTCAATATCAACTGTGCATGATATTTCATTTTTAACTATTTGATAACATTCCTTGCTTATTTGTAGTGGGCCACCGGGCTTCCAAGTCATTCTTTAACCCCTTAGATCCTAAAAAATCATCCCATGTTAGGGACCTATGAAACCATCTTTCCCAGCTATTTTTCCAATCCTTAACTACTGTCTGTAGTTGCCTTTTAATGCTCTCTTGTTGATCTTTTATCAAAAGACACCAAGGTGGTCTTAATCTTGCCAATTTATCCATGAATTGTAATGAATACCAAGAAACCCTTCTTCTATCTATATTTACTCATCTATGTCTCTCTTCTAGAAATCCGTTATTCCCTAGACTTTCCAGCATTAATTCTATTTAACTACTTCTTGCTGCATCTAAAATAACTTTTACTAATAGTGGTGCATCTGGACTAGGATGACTAAAGGATTTTCAATAAAGGCGGTGATAACGGTGCCAAGGACACCAGGTGCTTTCCAGGCCCCCAGAAAGCCCAAGATACAGTGACAGTTAGAAAGATAATAGCAAGTAAAAGCATGCCAAGTACACTGCATGTTTTTTAGCACAGCCAATTCCAAGAGGCAACCTTCCTTGAAGTTCCAGCCTCAACCCACGGAGGATCTCACGTGGGCTTCATTGGAGATGGCGTGGCAAAGCAGGAAGGCGGCCACTTTAAATAAACACTTTTCAAAGTCACACTTCTGTAAGTCATTCCTCTAGTCTGCCTGTTCAAGCAGGAATCAGATTTTTCTGCTTATTAAATGGAAGTTGGTTTCAAAGAGCATAGACCCACTGTAGTCACATGAGGGAAGATGCAGATTCTGAGAGTGTCCTTGAGGCAATGAAAGAAATAGTTGTGAAGTCAACTGGCATCCTGCAGGCTTGGAAGAGAGGGTGCTCCTCGTTATCCCACTGACCACTCACTTCCTCTGTGCTCGCCGATCCTGTTTTACATGGTGTGCCTTAGACCCAGCTCCACCACATAGTACCTTTCTGCCTTCGACTGTGCTGCTAGTTACAGAGGAAAAACCTCCTAGTTCAGATTCCTGGGGAAGACAGTGATCTGGACAATCTGTCTTTTCTTTCTGACTATGGATCCTAGAGATAGCCAGTCTGTGGCCTGACTGCCCTTTGGCCTGCATTAAGTCATAAACTATGGCCTGAAAGCTGAAGGAAGGAAATGACTCTGTTCCCAGATTAGGGATTAGCAGAGTTGCTTTTCTCCACTGCTTTATATATATATTTTTTTTTATGTGTATGTGTGTATTGCCTGCATGTAGGTAACTGCACCCATGTTGTGCAGTGTCTGCGGAGGACAGAAGAGGTTGTTGGATCCCCTGGAACTGGAGTTAAAGACAGTTGTTAGCTGCCATGTGGGTGCTGGGATTCGAACCCAGGTCTTCTGCAAGAACAGCCAGTGTTCTTAACCGCTGAACCATCTTTCCAGCCCCTACTTTTTTCCACCACTTTACATAAATTATTTTTCTTTGTTAATCCCAGTGAAAAGGTGAGTGTTTCTTATAATTGAAGCAGTTGGCGTGTTTAGGGTTGTTCTTTACATCTCTGTTATTCTTTTTTTTTTTGTCTTTTTGAGACAGGATCTCCCTGTAGCCCCAGCTGTCCTGGAACTCACTATGTAGACCAGGCTGGGCTTGAACTCACAGAGATCCACCTGCCTCTGCCTCCCAAGTGCTGGGATTAAAGGTGTACACCATCACGCCCAGCATACATCTCTGTTATTCTTAAGAAATAAAAACTACAAAGGGGAGGGTCAACTTAGAGGAAACATCTCATTCCTGCTTCCAAGTGAAGCCAGACATGGTCGAGCAGGACCTTTGACTTATCTTCACATAGATGGAACTGGTAAAAGAAAGGAGCCAGAAGCTCCTCCCAAACCCATGTGACCGCTGAGGAACAGATCCTCAGATGACCTTAAGTGTAAAAATAAATTGATTTATTTGGGCCAACTGTATGGTCTTAAACACCCAAAAGGAAAGTATAACCAAAGAGTAAAGTCATCAGTATACTTCAAGAGTTCAAGGGATTACACTTTCCAGACACAAGGCTTAAGTCTATATAAAAAGTTATTTAGACAATTCTTTCTCATTGATGATTTTGTTCCTAACAAGAAAGTGTTGCTCAGAAGTAAGACTTCAAATCTTGGTCTCCAATACTGTAGGGCCCTGTAGCTAAGGGAGACAACCAGCTATTGTTCTAAAATGATGGATAAATTTGTGTTCCCCCCCATCTAGAAGCCTTTGAGAGGGAACTGACACTGATTCTAATGACTCCAAAGCTATCAAAATACCTGAAACGCAAATCCTGAATCCATCACTCTTGGAAGACAAAAGAAAAATGAGGAGGAACCCAATAGAGGGATGATTTTGGAAGCCCTTGTCAAGAAACTCCAATAGACTCTCATATGAACATTTGGAAAATTGCCCTGTTCTGACTTTTTCCTAGTTCCCTGTCCAGAACTTGTAATGCTAATTACTCTTGCCTTTATTTCTCCTTCACATCTCCTTTTCACCAGTCAAGGACTTTCTTTTCCCCCTAGAGAT